AGACAGACACACACACACACACACACACCGACGCACCCACCCACACCCATTGTCAACACCTTGTACAAGTGCATGAATCCAGCCGACCACAAATCGAAAGACACGCAGCATGCAGTGGTTTGGGACAGCGTTTGTTGGACATACTTGGATGTTGCATTTTGGGCATGCGTGTATATGGCAACTTCTGCCCCATTAGCATGCAAACCCGCGAGCTGCAAAGCATCACGGGAACTACTGCCGCTGGTTGAAAAGACAATGGCCCAACAAGTAGCTTCAGGCAGGGTCTGCACATGCCAAGATTTCTTGCTTATTTGCAAGTGCACGAGGCCTTGGTTTGCAGGAGAGCCCCAGAGGCAAAACGCGCCTAAGCCACGCGCTCCCCGCTCCCTCCTCCCTCTCCTTCTGGATGATGGGCCAAGGAAGCCTGCACGTGAAGCGAAGAGCGAAAGAGCGCAAAGCCCGCGAAGCGAAGCACGCAAGGCCACTGGCGAAATGCACGCGCGTGTGTGCTGCGAGCCTGCGAGCCCTGCCGGCTCTTGAATTCACCGCGGTGAGTGCTAAACCTGCAATTCCCCTTTTCCCATCCGAGTCAGGCACACGATGAGGCTCCTACTGCCCAGTCAGTCTTCGAGTGGAGTTGAGCCTGATTAAAGTGTCCAGTTTGCAAGGCGACTCCGAGCTCTGACCGGCTTGCTCCGGAAAGGTACTGTGCTAAACGCCCCGAGCAACCCGATGCACTGCTCTCAGTTGCACTGGTAATGTGATGAAAGTAACCCGCAAAGCCACCAAGCTTCACATCTAACCGAATGTAACTAATGCCCTGACATCGCACTACCATCTGCTCTGCCGCAAGGGGTTCACCGAGGTCCCTGCCGGACGGATACCCGTCGGGTTGAATTGGAGTCCTCTGCAAAAAACGATTTTCGCTCATAAAGCCTACGCCTCCCTGAGCGGTTCAACCGAAACGCAAAGACGGACGCCCTCTGAGCTGGCAGCATTGTAGCACGCTTAGGAGCATGGATATCGCCTGGTGCGACGCCTACCAGCAACAGCATCCAAGATGAGTGTGTCTTTTCAAGAGCCGCTTTGTAAACGTGTATGCATGAGATGAGCCGTGCTGCTTTCCAAAGCACCAAACGCTACCTAGTCATCATAAGCCCGGAAGGCCAGTGCGTTTGAAGCAACTTTTCAGTCAGCAGCTCGCGGGTTTGACTTGTGGTTGAGAAAGCGGGCATTACATTTAAGAATTGCTTGGGGAAGGCCTGTAGTAGTTGTCGTCGTCGTCGTCCCTTTATTCCTACATGCAACATCCGAATGCTCGGTTCAGTGTTGCTGAACCCTTCAAGGGTGTGATGAGCACATGGGTGCATGCCTGTGTACATGACAGTGTGTGTGTGTGTAGATAATATGTATCTCTTTCTCTATCACTGCATTGGGACTTCGGTGACTCACGTTGACTTTTGTGCAGCCTGGTATGTCAGTGTCGCAAAGTTCGCGACAGCCCCGGAGCAGACGACGGCTCAAGCATGATAATTCTTAAAAGACAGCGTGGAAGCATCGCCTTAAGCACGCCAGTTCTTTTTAAAGGAGAAGTGTTCCAAACTGCTTTCTACTTTGTGTCGATTTGATGTCTGAGCTTCTGGAATATGTTGCGCCCGCACTGATTCCAGGACACGTTTGCGCATCATTATGTTGCTTTGCAGCATGGCGGTGCAGCTCTCTTGAGGAGACCGGGATGCAGCGAAGCGGGACTAAAGCAATGTCTCCGACGTCGGCGGCTTGCTCGCTGTTCTGTCCCTTCTCCAGGCAGAGAGGGAGGGTGGTGCACTTTGTGGATTCCCGTTTGGGGGTGGCTTCCCTTGCCTTTCTGCCTCTGCTGTTTCTTCATCTGCCGTTGCCTGAGTATTGGAAACTTCGATTGTTGGGAGTCAGACCTGAAAACTGCATGCCCTACATGGTCTGTCACTCAGAGCGGCAGTTCCCGGTCTCCCGGAGATTGTTGGAGTCGTGGCGAACTTCGTGAGTAGGCTGAGGGTTGAAAGGGGTCGTGCAAGAAGACATGATACGACCACACAGGGGGCGGAATCAGAACAGAAAGGCTGTCCCCAAGTCCCGAGTATCTTGAGCAACGTGTCCAGGTGAGTGGAGACAGGCCAGGAGTTCAAATCCTTGCGAATTTGCTCGCGTCGAGACTTGGGCTGGGCTCACTTGAGCATCACCCGCTTGAAGTGCGAGTGTCGACAGACTTCGTGGTGCGGTGCATGTTGCAGTGCAAGGATCGTGTTTTGCGCCGGACGTTCGAGCTTCCAGGGTGTTGAGAGGCACCAGATTCCAAGCACGAGCGCCATAGCAAGGCGACTTCGGCTCATTTCACTGCGTGAGTTGCGCATGCACGCAATCGCTTTCTTGGAGTTGGCTGGCTCCGCTCTGCAACATGCGTTATGCCTGCCACGCACAGCTCGCGTGGGAGTTTTTTTCCCGCATCTAAAGTGACACGGTGACACGGCATCCCAGACGCCTTTCCGCTTCCACCGCCTCACCGCGGGGGAAAAGCTTCTCTGTCTCAGTTTTGTGGCTGCTCTGCTGTGTCATGCTGGCGGGGAGCGTTTGCCTTGCTCGAATCCAGACTCCAGTCCACAGCTCCTTGGAAAGCTGACATGAGTTCTCTGACTTCAGCAAGATTGCAGGCCTTGAAGCCTTGAAGTTGCTGAGTTCGGTTCTTCTTGGGCCACGCATACAGGACATCTACTTTTCCATGTTGCGGCGACGGCTGGGGCTGCGGCTGCTGCCCGCCGTGCCAGCCAACCAGCAGACTTTCCAGCCAGTCTGACAAACTGTGCGCATTGCCAGGCTTCCGCTGATTGTTGGCTTGTGCGCTCTCGAACTTGTCACTTGCTGTGTGCCTTCGATGTGGTGTCGGGCGCAGCCAGCTTACCCTCTGATCTCTGTCGTCGGAGGTTCTGGCTCGACTCGTCGGCAAGCGTGCCCCTTGTGAACACTGTCGTCGTCTGCACGCTCCTGCTTTGGTGTGTCTGGTGCAGCATGCTCGTGAAAGCCCTGTGCACGAACCCATGCGCGAACCACGACAGAAGTGCCCTCTGCTCGTCTACGGTGCTGACTTCAAAGTTCATGGCTTGCAGATTCTCGCCTGCGTCGCACGACAGCCTCGTTTCCATCCTGCTACGACCGCAGATTTTGGCAGTGCCGCCCTTCCCTGCGTCAATCAATGCTTCCGGCTGGCCTCGAAGTGGCCTGGTCGTTGCGAGGATGCAGCAGAGGCAGCAGTTGCGCCCCTTTTCGAGTCTCCCATGGTGTGAGCTCCGCCTGTGGTGCACTTGGCGCTGCATTCTGTGCCCGTCAGAACATTGAGAACTGCTTGATCTCGTGGTTCGGCAAAGTAGCCTTCGAATGCAGCATCCTTTCTGTGCGCTCGACTCCGCCCCCTTCACTTTTCGGGGCCTCCACACTTCAATGCCGCAGCTACCTCTGCAGTCGTCGCCCACAGAGACTGGCAACCAAAGATGCCGCACAGCGATGCTTGCTGCCGGCTTTGGCCTCGTCAATGCTCAGTTTGATTGCGCACATTGCGTCTGCCTCCGACGGTGTAGCAATGTGCTGATGTAGACTGCGTTGAACTCTCTGTTGAACTCTGAGATCAGAGGGCACCTGGCCGAGCTGGCCTGTGAAGCTGAAACCCGCCAAGAAGCGGGGCCCAACAAGACTGGCAGCCGGGCAAAGGCCAGCGGGGTCGCAACAAGTCTCATAGCACAACCGCTGGTGTCGAGCAGGACCGTTAGTCAATGCTCTTCCTGGTCGAGTGTTCTTTCAACGGGATTCTGTGTCAGATCCCTAAGTGGAGTCTAGACCCTCAGCCCGACTGTAGTTAGTTTTCCTGCCATACATAGGCCTCCACTTGAAAAGGTACTCCAAGGATCTGTGCATGGGGCTCGGATTCGGGGTTTAGGTGGTCACAGGTGGCCACTACCCAACTCCCAATAACCAGAATAGGAAGCGCTGCGTCCGTGTTCAGTTTAACTTGATCCTTTTTGATTTTCGGAGTGTTGTGCATGGAGCACATCCTTGAGTGCTCTAACTCTAACCCCTCGGGGCGTTCGGCATCGCTTTTACCTGCAGTGACGCTTCGGTTTTGAGGCAACTCCATGGCACGGCATGGCATATCTTCTTCCGAACGCGCTGCAGCGCAGATGGCACAAATCTCTTTCGTGCCAAGTCTGCATAGTGTCAGTGCAACCGATTGTCAAGCGGCGGCATGGGTTCGTAAGACAAAATCTTTCAAATGGCTTTAATGGCGTTAAGTGTTTATTTGCGGCGTGTGTATTTGTAGGCTGTAGACAACCCGAAGCATCGGCGGCGCGTCTGTGCTTTTTGAGTGATCTGGGGTTGTAAGCGCATTGCACACGCTCTCGCAAGCTGCAGTAGGGGTGCACCCCCAACAGGGTCTCCGATTTCGTACGTCTGCAAATGCTTGGAGTGCCCGTACTCTTCGTCATCGTCATCCTGATGCAGAACAGCTACAGTCCACGACTTGAAGCTGCCACCACCGCCTTCCGTGACATTTAGGGCCACCCTGCGCAACGTGGCTTCGAGTTCGTGAGCTACCAGTAGCATTGAGCATGCTTTCGTAGTGTTGAGATCCGATTTCATGCTTGCTTGCTTCTTAACCGGTCCTGTACTGCAGGCGTCTTGCGCAGTCAGGCCTTCAAAGCCTGCCTAGATGCCCAAAGACGTCTCACGGGAAGGCAGGTCCCTGTACGCTGCTGGCCTTACTTCCGAATCAGCACGATTAAGGTTACTCGTTGTTGCTCAGGTGGCTGGTGATTCTGATGCCGACCTTCGTACCAGCAGGGTTTCTACCCACTGTTGCAATGAGCTGCTGCAGTGTGTATGCTCCAGGGCTTTCTGCAGCCTGGCACTGCATTGTTCCTGCGTTTGGATGTTGACTTCATGTGGTTTTTGCTTTCCAGCGCAGCTGCGCTTCCATGCCGCCCGCGCTGCTGGAGCTGCCGTCGCCGATCACTTGTGAAAGCCACCTGTTCAGCATGGCCGCTTCGCTTGCAATATGGTCATGCTGCCGGCGTTTCCAGCCAACCTCTCTGCCGTCGGAGCTTCTGGCTCGCCTCGTCGGCAAGCGTACCCATTGCAAACTCTCTCGTCGGCTGCATCCTGCTTTGGTGTGTCTGGTGCAGCACGCTTGTGAAAGCCACCTGGGCACGAACCCAGATGCACGAGTGCCTCGCATCCATCTTGCTACGACCGCACGTTTTGGCAGTGCCGCCCTTCCCTGCATCAATCAATGCTTCCGGCTGGCCTCGAAGCGGCCTGGTCATTGCGAGGATGCAGAAGAGTCAGCAGTTGCACCCCTTTTCGAGTCTCCAATGGTGTGAGCGCTGCCTGTGGTGCATTTGGCGCTGCATTCTGTGCCCGTGACGCCGCCTTCACTTGACGGGGCATCCATGCTTCCCTGCCGCAGCTACCTCTGCAGTCGCCGCCCAGACAGGTGCATCGGCAGGTGTCGCCTAGATACGCTACCGACTGGTCTTGTCGACACTTCCGTTTGCGGCAGCGTTCCTCTTGAAAGCTCATGCTCCTGCTTGGGTACACTTGCCGCAGCCCCAAGCAAGCGGTCGCGCTTATGCCGATCGCGTGCGGCTCTTACATGTTTCTGCTGCATGTGTCAGCCGCCTCCACACCGTCCTGCCGAGGTCTCTTGAGGCCACCTCAGCACATACTGCACCTTTGCACAGTCCAATGTTTCAAGAGGTCCTGCGACAGTCGAGAAAGGGGAAAACAGCTTCGGGTCGTCGGAGTATCATGCATGGTTTCCCTGCTAGCAGCTGCACGTTGGCCCAAGAGTCATCATGATGCAAACGTGGAATGAAGTAACCATCAACTGCTCGATTCATGTTTGTGTGTTGGCTCAAGCGCGCCTTTCGCACGAACCACAGTCGTCGATCGCCAACCTGGACGCTCATCAGACGATGCCCCCTGGCCAAATCTAGGAGATTATGCCACATACTAGATCGTATGTAGTATATCATATATACTGCATACTATATATACTGCCCTGGCCTACAACGGTCAAGAAAGATGCGTGTCGTCCGCTAAAACTCTGAGAAGTACGAATTCCAGACACCGGACCCTGAAGCTCTTCACCAGATATAAGCGGAGAGGCGAGCCGCCTAAAATGCTTTGTATCTCTCGAAGCACCACCTCCATCCGAGCCTTGTGAAGCCTAAACGTGTGGTGTTCCAGCTCAGAAGGAGAGAGAAGGGATGACGACGACCTTGTTCGTGTTCACGCACGCAAGATGTCGCTCGCGTTGAAGGATTGCCTCGCTGTCCCGAATGCATAGGGGTAGCCCCACAACAATCTGAAAGGAAGCCCGAGCTCAGGTCAACTACTGTCAAAATCCTGGGTGCCCTTGGCTTGATGACAACCCTTGGTCTCGGCTTCGTGGCACCGCGCCCAACAGCGCAGAAGCCACATGCCTTGTCTCATGCCACAGTGGATGCAAGAGTGCAAAGTGCAAACATCACAACAGGCCCGGGTCAAGTCTCAATGTGGGAATGTTGAGGAGTCTTGTGTTTTCACGCATGCATTAATTCTGCGGTGCCAGGCTCCACTGCCATGTATGGTGTTGCAGTCCTGGCTACTGCAGCAGCTGGACTCTTGGCCCGTGCCAAGCGCTCCAGAACTGCAGCACGGGCGCAGCCGTCGCATGGCAGAAAGTTCGAATACTCCATGCAGAAGGATTCACATGCGGATTACGAGTTCATCAACGAGGTCGGTCGCTTGGACTGTCTTGGGATTGATGAACAGCTTCGGCGCATGTCATCTTTTCGAGAATTTTCGAAACATTGATTCAGCAAACGATGATGAGCTCCTTGGGTTGAGTCTTGGATGCCTCCTTTTCAAAACTGACGAGCCCTCGTGACAATCTCACAGTTGTTGACGTTCTTGATCTTTGATTCCGGAGAAGCCTAGGCTACTTGCCCGATGGCACGCCGTTGAACAAGGCCGGCAATGCCATCAACCATCCCGAGACCATCGGACCGGATCCACACACGCCGGGATCGCCACTGCCTCGGGCCATCTTCACCAACTCCGTTGGCTACCTCCCTGATGGAACACCTCTTAATGCAGCAGGCAATGCCGTGAACCATCCCGAGACCATGCAGCCGGATACACACATTCCCGGTTCGCCGTTGCCCCCGTCCTTCTACGCTGCCGACACGGGCTACCTGGTGGATGGCACGGACATGTCCGTGGCCGGCAATCTCTCTGTTCAAGGCGGGGCACCTGCGGCTGCACCCGCTGCTGCGCCTGCTGCACCTGGCGCAGCAGCTCCCGCCGCCATGCCTGCCTCTGGTTCTCTGACAATGGAGGAGGTGATCAGTGCCCAGAAAGGGTGGGCAGACGCAATCAAAAACATCTCAAGGACCTGACCTAACTACCCAAACACGAACCTCCATTCCGGAGTGTAAGCAAAGACCTAGAGTGCAGAGTCCGCAACATGTTCTCGAAGCATGGTTCCTAGAGAGTTCCAAAGCTCCAGGACCTACTTGGACGGTGGGGATTACGTGGCAGTGGCCGCAAATGCAGCCGGCGAACTCTATGGATATGGCCACGGAAATGTGCTTTTCAAGCCGACCAAAGCTAAGGATGTCCAATTCCGACCTGAGGCAAGTCAGGCCATGTCCTACTTCGTAGGCGCCGATGCTGTGACTGGTGGCATCTCGGAGGACCACGGCTTCGCAATCAACGGCGGCAAAGGTTGGTCCGATGTTTTCTTTGACAACCACCAGATCGACTTGCACGGCAATCTGGCACTTGCTATGGGCAACTACATCTTCACCTCTGCTGAGGACCGAAGCATCAGCAAGGTGGAATACACGTTCGGCTACAGGAGCTGGGTTTCGAAGTCCACCCCCCCCCGCCCCCCCATAATTACCCAGAGCAAAACGAACCGCAGTTTAGATCCGGTTCGGGTTCATTCTTTTCATGCATCCTGCCCCTTGCACAGGAAGTGTCAGGATGGCAAAGTGCGCATTTGTCTTCACCACTCGTCCGTGCCATATGAGCAGACCGCCGCACCAGTTTCCATGGAGGAGGTGAAAGCGGCCCAGAGAGCATGGGCGGAAGCGATCAAGAATATTTCGAAGGCATACTTGGAGGGTGGGGACTATTTGTCAGTTGCCAATCGTGCAGCCGCTGATCTGTATGGCTATGGCCACGGAAATGTCCTCTTCAAGCCAACCAAAGCAAAGGATATGCAATTCCGCCCTGAGGCAAACCAGGCCATGTCTTACTTCGTAGGCAACGACGGCATGGGCGGTGCTGGAATTGCCGAGGACCACGGCTTTGCAATCAATGGCGGCAAGGGTTGGTCAGACGTGATGTTCGACAACCACCAGATCGATTTGAATGGCGATCTGGCCCTTGCTATGGGCAACTACTTCTTCAGCGACATGGATGGTGGCATCCACAAGGTGGAGTACACATTCGGATACAAGAGGTGCCAGGGCCGGGATAACCAAGTCTCTCAACCGCAAGCACTGACAAACTCGTGTAAACATCTTTGAGGCAGTCTCTATCCAAGCACATGTTGAAATGCAGGTTGTAGCGGTCTAACGTGGATTGGATAGAGCGTGTTGCTCAAGCATGTTGTGACTGCATGCCTGCAAGCAGCCCCTCCCCTAAACCTCGTACCACCAAGGTTAATGTCTAAATTCTGCTAACCCTGGAGGTGCCTCGACGGCAAAGTGCGTATTTGTCTCCACCACTCGTCCGTGCCATATCAGGGTTCTCCCGAATCCGCCGACTCTGGACACATGAGCAGCATTTCGGCTACGCCTATGCCGGTGGCGGCCGCATTTGTGGGATCCTCTGCAACTTGTCACAGACGTACAGGTTGTCGGTTCAGTTGTGTCAGTCATTGCAAAGCAAACATGCGGTGCACGTTGGAGCATACAAGTCCTACTTGAACTGATGATTCACTCCTGAAGCTGCTACAGATACACAGTGGCATGAAATCTGCCTGACAGCGGCATGATATCTGCCTGAAGACCTTTCCGAACCAACCACTGGTGCCAATCGAGACGGGGCTGTTTCTGCTAAGCGACGTTTCTTCAGTAAGAGATGCTCCTTGTCGAGCGAGGTTCCGGCAAGCGCCCCATTGCGCCATTCCATGGGCTTCGCATATTCCGCACAGAAGGAGCCGCGGTGCTGGGATGGTTGGAACGCCTGCAAGCGACGGAGGGGTTTCGAATAGGCACCGACCTTCGCTGAGTTTGCAATCCGTTTACAGGTGTCAGCATGCAGACTTCTCGTGAATTTCCTAGTCCAGTCGCTCAAGTCAGGCTGGTGCGAAGTTGAAACACATTTCAAAAACCATCGTTGGTGCTATAGCCAAGTGTCCATGCTCAGAATCCGGTTGATCGTCGTGCACAGCCATGCCTTGGTAAAACTTGTCGCGGGGCTTGGTGATGGCACAAAGTTGTGGAGTGACATTAGACAAGCGCAAGGACGGGCATCCGTGATGCAGCTCGTTATGTCTGCTAATCCCTTGAGTGTTCGTTGCAGAAACCCGCAGAAATCATAGTGCCCTCTGGCCCGCCTGGACCGTGCACTGTGTAGACAAACCGAAGAAATCGAAGTGGAGATGAGCATCCGAAGAGCCAAGCGAAAATGCTGTGTACAACTACTGCATGAATTTCGTGGCTTACACACACTGCACTGGTCACGCTTGGCCAGGATGCCTATGCGGACTTGGAGTTTGGCAATGATGCCGCTTGGCATGGCTGAAAGCTAAAGCCGGACGCATAAGGGCTCAGCAGAGCATCACCCGAAAGAAAGCAAATTGCATTGCACAGGTTGGCTATTTGCCGGATGGCACTCCCATGAACATGGCGGGCAACTGCATCAATCATCCCGAGACCATTGGACCCGACCCACATACACCAGGCGCTGATGAAACTTATAGTCATTACAGATTCGTTTATCTACTGTGAATTTTCTACCTCAGCAGAGCCTTAGCAGTCTGCAGGCATGAGGGAGTTGCATACCGGATGCTGTGTGGCTTATGACCAGGGCGCCCTTGTGCATAGGGAAAAAGCTGCCAAGCTTCACCAGTGCTACCTGGTGTTTTTGCATGGTAAGCGGAGCCGGGAACGCCCGGTGGACCGCTACAGTGCCCTGACCGGCACTGCGCTGAGCGCCTTCTCCTTTGCCGCGTTCCTTTGGAGGACCGAGGCATCAACCTTTTCTTCGTGCGCCCGCCTCGGCCGGCGCTTGGCTCCCGAGCCCTACGACAACTTCGCCTACTCCGTGTACTACGAGAACAATGGCCAGACTGGAAGTTGATCGGTATGGAGTCCCACAGTAC